TTATTAGGATGATAGATCAATTCTTTATTTTATTGTCAAACTATAGTTATGATCGTTGTATGAGTTTAGAGTATAGTTTTATTTATTCCCATCTTTAGAAGAGAATTAATGTAAATATCAAAATTTGTATTCTAAATAATTCATAAAAATTGATCAAATATATATTTGGTTTAAATTTTTAGCCTATAACTAGTTCTATTTCTAATTTTAAAACTCTCTCTATTTTTATTTATGATCACTTGATGAACATGATTAATTTAGTCAGTATTGATTTTAATTATTAATTGCATTATATTTAATATCTCATTTCGTTAGTGATAATGACTTTATAAACAGAATATACACAAATAATTTTTTGTTTGTTTATAGATTGCCTATATGTGGATTAAATAAAGGAGACTAGGTTATGGGGTATTTCTTCTATCTTTCCAAAGTTTCTGGATACGCTAATAAGTAGTCTTTCAATTAAGGTAATCCATATAATATGCTTACAAAACCATAAACATATAAACTGAACATTAAAAACGAATATAAATTTAGTCAAAAATTTTATTTAAAGTTTCTTTTGCGTATTCCATGATGACGATCTAATCTAATCTAAAACTATCCTTTATGATAAATTTAAACTGTTAAGAACAGAATTAAATTTCTATTATACGCACCTTTTTAAGTTTTTGAAGTTTAAAACTGGTTTAATCATATTGTGAGAAAGTTGAGAATGAAAAAAAATCCATTTCAGTTATAGATTTTTTTAAATAAATACAAATTTACAATGTGAATATAAATTTGAGATCATCTATAGGATTTCCCCAAATCAATTCTCTTAAAGATTACTGGAAAATTAGACGATTGAATGTTTAAAAAAATTCAAGTATCTTATCTTATGAACTAGTTCAATAGTCTAAAGAATTAATCCTAAGTTTCTTTGAAATTCCATCAGAATTATCAATTTGGGATGCTTCTAAAACGGAATTTGATAAACCTTTCGCTTCAAGAATCTATAAATCTTTACCTTAACATTGTGCTTTTTGAATGGATAATTGATAGACTAAAATAACTGACTAGGACACTCTTTGCTACTGTCATTCAAATGTACTTGCTTGAGCAACTTGAAATTAACCTTAAATCACTAAAGTAGCAGAAGAAATTTCAAATCTGTCTGGTTAGGATCTCTTCTGTTAAACTGGTATATGAACTTTGGGATATTAAACTAGAGAAAAAGTTAGATCCTCCTTAAACAATCCTTATAGTACTATTATAAATCAGCAGGAAGGAAGCTAGATTATAACAATACCATTATAATTATAAATAAATGATCAAAGGAAATTGTAGAATAGATATTATATACAAAGGATCACTAAGGTATTTGGAGTACAGAAGAAAAATACTTAACAAATTAAATTCAAGGATTAAAAATTATTAAATTTGAGTAATAATAACAACCAAATAAACCTTCGCTTAAAAAATATAGGATTTAATCTATAAACTACTTTATGACAAACTGAGTAGCTTCTAATTTTTACTTTAAAGAGTTCTCATGTTCTTTAGGTTTCTCTATAAAATCTTAAAATTTTTTAATTCTATTAAAAATAATTTTAAAACAGAATTTTCTGAGTACCAGAAATAATGATAAAAATAGAAGAGATTAACTACAGTATTAACTAATTTGAGAACTAGAGCTCATCTTATGAGGCTTTAAATTTTTTACCAAATAAACTAAAAGGAGGTAATTGTGTGGTAATTGTTTCTGGCTGAAAAGATAATCAACATCCAGATTCATCTTTAAATAGGAATTAAATTTGTTTTCGTTCCCCTAAAAATGATTATATATTTTCTTTTTGTGAAGGAAAGCATTTATTAGTGAAGGTTTTTGATATTTCAGAATTGGAAAATTATGTAAAGCAAATTATTTAATACTTAAACTCCTTAGAATCTTTAACTTTATCATTTTGTAAGAAAGTTGATAAATAAAGTGGAATGCAGTCATTAGATTGAAGAAAAAAGCTTTTCAATCACTCCTACAAGCCTCAATCAGGAAATACTAGAAGATGTCAAGACCAACAAATGATTCACCCACTTTGATTTGGAAGACATTTTAATAATCATCACATTGGTTGGATATATTCAGTTACAGAAAAGAATGCTTGGTTACAGAATATACTAGTTATATGTCTAGTTGCTGTAATTGTCTTTTATTTAATATTCAGCATATGTGAAGGAAGGAGAACAAAATGTGATTGTGGAAACAGAGATTGGAAATCCTTTCGTATCTGATATCGGCTGACGAGGCTAATACAATAGATAAGGCCAATTTAAGTCATCTTAATAAGTTGTTCTCACGAACGGTAATGATGAATATGTAGAAAGAGAAAAGGAAACAAAGAGAGTTGTTTGATGAGATGGATGCCTGCTTATAACTGGGGATCTGGAACGATATCAAAATAACATATTTACAATGATTGGATGATGTAAGGAGACTTTCAAAGATATTTTTGTGAATTTATAGTCCTTAAGAATTTGAGTAATTAGTTTTGGGTGATATAATTGACGATATTTTTACCAGTCCTTAATATTCTGATAAATTAGCTTATGTGATTGTTTGGAAAAATAATAAAAATTGATGAATGAAATTTTGACTCGTATTTAAAGAAGGAGGAATGTCATTTATTAATAGAAAATAGCTTATATATCTTATAAATTTATATTATAAAGCAATTAAAAGCAAAAAAATTGAAATTGGTTATTAGAAGCTTCGTATAATATTAGTATAAACAAATATTTCTATAATAAATCATTTACTTTTTACTCTTATAAATTCACGCAGTTTCGAAAGAAAACAAAGATTTCAAAAGATAATTTCCAAGGCAAAAACTTTTAGACAAAGAGTAGTCTAAGTATGTAGAGACAATCTTCAAAATATATCCCTCAGTCTCGGTTTTTGGTTTGATCCTATTATTATCTAAGCATTCTATTCATCATTCTAAGACAAAAGCATGACTACACGACACCAATGTTTTAATAATGGGCTGATTCTCTCCTTTAAAGCATTAATATTTCCTTAAGTTTTTCTCCTTAATGGAGGATGTGTTGAAATATTATGAAACAAAGATTGAAAATGAAGACTATGCATTTCCAATAATAATGAAGTCGAATTAATAACTATTTCAATTAATAATAAAGGAACAGCTTTTCTCTCTTTTGAGGATTCAGATTCTAAAAAATTTTACGTTCTACATAAGCTGACTGAAGATGTATTAATCAGTTTTCCGATTTTCATTGTTTAGGGAATGAGTATATTGCCACTTTTATTTGTTATTAATTATCTAGGTGTAGCTTTGAATTGTGCTGATTTACCTTATGAGAATGTTTGCAATGATGAAGACATTGCTTCACAAGATGCAGATACTACTACAAAACAGCCAAAATAGATAAAATTGAAACACTGCTTTTAGTTCTTATTAATGATTTTAGGAAAAAACTAAACCCACTCCTAGAGGATGAGTTAGAAATGAATCATGAAAATGTTAAAGTATAGGATTCACACTGAGAAATATTTTAACATTCCTTAGTAGGGATGCCAAGAATCTTGACGATGCATTTATAATATTGAAATATATTATCAAATGCCCATATACCACATTATTCCTTCTTATTGTTAATAGAAGAAAATTAATGATGTCGATGAAAATTTATATTTAATCAACCAATCAGAAAGGCAATTAAATGCAATTCTTGATGTTAATAGAAACAACATAATTCGTCTGTCCGAAGTTGCCATTGTTTTTATCTAACTCTATTATTCCATTTATTGAGGATGATAAGACATCCATCTAAATATAGTATGTTGATAGATTCAGTTATATTCTCTCTCATCTGTTGATAATGCTGGTAAATTTAAAGTTTCATTGATACTATGACTCACTACACACTGCCAAAAGATCATCTACTTATAATCATAATGATATATAATTATTTTGTTGGGATCATAAAGTGTTGCCAATCAAAGCTGTATCCATATGCATGAGTATGTCTACTCTTTTATACCAAATGTTCTGCCTCTTTTACTATTATTTTTTTTTTGAGTAATTAAAGTCTAACTTCTTTTGATTTCTGCTCTGCCAACTTGGATTTTATAAATAATAGCATTTTATAATGAAAAGATTGAAATAAAGCTTTATATTAACTGTAGATAAGTAAAGTTGTATGTTTGGATATTTAGTACATCTACTTAAATTATAGCTTGAGTTATAGGTCTTTTCTCAATGAAAATCCTATTTATAGTAGAGGTTTTAAACTTGATATTTTAGTCTCTCTTTGTTTGCTAGAACTTCCTGACTATTATTCAATGCTCATCATCTTTTTGATACCAATGACTCATATAGAGTATACTTAACTGGATACAACCTTGTAATTTTTGTAATTCAGTAACTGAATGTAGTGTTATAATTATTTCTTTGTAGATGCTAAAAAATTATGTTGAGTAATTTCAACTCCTGGTTGTATAAATTGCCGTAAACATACATGATAAAAATTTAAACTATCCTTCATCACAACAATTAAATGGGACTTTTACCAAATTACATAGTGCCTTCACGATCCGTTGTTCTCATTTTATTACTTGAATTAAAACATTTCAAACAAGATTCTTCTTATAAACGCAAATCTTAGACAAATTCCAAACATATCTAAATGTCCCACAAGAACTACCTATCAGAATATTCTAGAATTCATTCATGTTCGAGTAGATGTTTGATTCTCACTATTCTTAAGTCGAATATATTCTTTTAAGAAACTAAATAAAATAATTATTAATAGGCTGATTCTAATTTTGAAATTATAGATTAGATTCATAATGAAACAACAGATTGATAGTTGTATTAAATGTAGCAGAGACAAAGTTGATCATTAAATATCGTTTACAAAAAGTATGTGAATAGAATACCAGAGAGTATCAATATATAAGATAATATTAAATTACAAAATTTGTTAAAATTTATTTAATGAATTTGATTACGTGTTAAGATATTGCGCACAAAGGAGAAGCTATATAGGGATTCTGTTTAAATTTGTAATGCTAGGATTCAAGACCTTAGTTCTGTCTATAATGTGGATTTGATCCTAAGAAGCATTCTAATTGCAAGAACGATCTAAAAGGATTTGGGTAGATTTAAACTTTTATCACAAAATTCAATTAGAATATACTAGATTTAGCAACTTAATTGAATAAATCCTTTGCATAAGTCAAAGTAAAATATGAAGAATTCTCAAAATAATTAGAGAATATGAAAATACATTTAGTTAAGATATCTGATTGTTTAAGTCAATAAGATTATTAATAAATGAAAGGCTATTTGTAAGTGATCAAGGAATGGTATTAATATTTAAACAATTAAGAGGACATTATGAAGTAGAATTAAATTGGTATTCTATATAAGTAATATTTATAGGAACTTAGTTAATTAGAATAAAAAGAATGATTAAAGCATTGGATCTAGAATAAGGATAATAATAAATTTAAGATATTAAACAAGATAATGAAGGTGCACTCTAGTAAGGTATTTGAGTTTTTTTATAATTACATTAGGAATACAATTACTTAATTAATAGAAATGGCAGGAGGCTAAAGAAAAAATCAATTAATACATAAAATTATCAGAGAAACGATAATCATTGGCAACATTCTTCAAAAGTAATTCAATAAATTTTATATAATTAGGTATATGTTTAATTGAGATGAATTAACCAGGATAAGGAATAATGATGAGAGAATAGGCCAAAAAGATTAATAATAACTTAAATAGAGATCTATTTGATTATGCAGATCAAGAATTAATTAAAACACCATAAAATTCTTTTATGTTATTAGCAAAAAGTTAATACATTATGTATTTATATAGGCTATGTTTTAAACGATGAGAAGAAATTTCAAGAAGCAATTGAGTTATGCGAAAAGGTGTTGAGAGAAGATCCCTAACATCTACACTCTTTGTATAAAAAATGTAATTGTTGATATTACAAAAATAGTCTATTCTTTATATGATTTGACTCAATATTCAAAAGCAATTTCATGTATCGATGTAGCTCTAAAATATAATCCATAGTACAGTATTGGTTACTGTTCAAAAGGTATTTATTAAGTTATGATTTTAGGAGTTGTCTTATAGAGTCTTAATAAATACAATGATGCAATAGTTTGCTATGATAAAGCAATCCAAATAGATCCAAATCATGCATTGGCCTATATGAATAAAGGTTTGTAATTTCTTGATTGTATTAGGTAATACCTTATAGAGTCTTAATAAATACAATGATGCAATAGTTTGCTATGATAAAGCAATCCAAATAGATCCAAATCATGCATTGGCCTATAATAATAAAGGTTTTTAATTTCTTGATTGTATTAGGTAATACCTTATAGAGTCTTAATAAATACAATGATGCAATAGTTTGCTATGATAAAGCAATCCAAATAGATCCAAATCATGCATTGGCCTATTATAATAAAGGTTTTTAATTTCTTGATTGTATTAGGTAATACCTTATAGAGTCTTAATAAATACAATGATGCAATAGTTTGCTATGATAAAGCAATCCAAATAGATCCAAATCATGCATTGGCCTATTATAATAAAGGTTTTTAATTTCTTGATTGTATTAGGTAATACCTTATAGAGTCTTAATAAATACAATGATGCAATAGTTTGCTATGATAAAGCAATCCAAATAGATCCAAATCATGCATTGGCCTATTATAATAAAGGTTTTTAATTTCTTGATTGTATTAGGTAATACCTTATAGAGTCTTAATAAATACAATGATGCAATAGTTTGCTATGATAAAGCAATCCAAATAGATCCAAATCATGCATTGGCCTATTATAATAAAGGTTTTTAATTTCTTGATTGTATTAGGTAATGTCTTATAGAGTCTTAATAAATACAATGATGCAATAGTTTGCTATGATAAAGCAATCCAAATAGATCCAAATCATGCATTGGCCTATATGAATAAAGGTTTGTAATTGCTTGATTAAATTAGGTACTACCTTATAGAGTCTTAATAAATACAATGATGCAATAATTTGCTATGATAAAGCGATCCAAATAGATCCAAATGATGCATTGGCCTATTATAATAAAGGTTTTTAATTTCTTGATTGTATTAGGTAATACCTTAGATAATCTTAATAAATACAATGATGCAATAGTTTGCTATGATAAAGCAATCCAAATAGATCCAAATCATGCATTGGCCTATTATTATAAAGGTTTTTAATTTCTTGATTGTATTAGGTAATACCTTATATAGTCTTAATAAATACAATGATGCAATAGTTTGCTATGATAAAGCGATCCAAATAGATCCAAATCATGCATCGGCCTACATGAATAAAGGTTTGTAATTGCTTGATTAAATTAGGTACTACCTTATAGAGTCTTAATAAATACAATGATGCAATAGTTTGCTATGATAAAGCAATCCAAATAGATCCAAATTATGCATTGGCCTATTATAATAAAGGTTTTTAATTTCTTGATTGTATTAGGAGTTGTCTTATAGAGTCTTAATAAATACAATGATGCAATAGTTTGCTATGATAAAGCAATCCAAATAGATCCAAATCATGCATTGGCCTATATGAATAAAGGTTTTTAATTTCTTGATTGTATTAGGTAATACCTTATAGAGTCTTAATAAATACAATGATGCAATAGTTTGCTATGATAAAGCAATCCAAATAGATCCAAATGATGCATTGGCCTATTATAATAAAGGTTTTTAATTTCTTGATTGTATTAGGTAATACCTTATAGAGTCTTAATAAATACAATGATGCAATAGTTTGCTATGATAAAGCAATCCAAATAGATCCAAATCATGCATCGGCCTACATGAATAAAGGTTTGTAATTGCTTGATTAAATTAGGTGATCTATTAAAAAATATGAAGAAATACTCATCAGCTATAGAGACTTATGAGCAGGCAATAAAGTATTGCAAGTCTAACGAGAATGAATTTAAGCGTTTAATTATGGAATTAAAAAATACAAAATGAATATTTTCATTTTTCATTAAAATAATAAATATATGATTTACATTATTTTACTATTTGAATTTAATAATTACTTAATTGTTTTAGATAGTTTATTTTCCTTTCGTACATTCCCAATAATGGCAACCATTATTGATATTTCCATATATGATAATATTTTAATATATATATATGTCTGTATGCTCTTCTAATCCATTAGTATTAACTCTTCTCTTTCCTTGCTTTTTTCCTAACCTATAATATAAGTAAATTGCTTTCAAACTCACTAACGATTTTATTGCTTTAAAAATTATTATGGATTTTCATAAACACTTCTTTAAAAACGTTCGATTCTCACTAACATTTCTTTTATCAAAAAATACAGATTTCACTATTATCGGAATCTTCTCTGTTTTTGATTTTATAAATCATTATTCAAATTTCATTATTGTGATTTCAATTTCTCTACGAATAGCTAAAAAAGAGTAAGATTCTCTTAATATCTAAATTCTTCTATATTCTAAAAATAAGATTGATCTCCTAATTGCTAACTTAGATAATTCTATAACATCTTCTCTTAGAATTTGAGTTCAATGTTGAGTTTATACATTACATTATAAATTATGTCTTCATATTTTAAAATGAGAATTTTTTCTCTTTTATTTATCATTCTTCACTAAAGAAAAATGTATGTGTAATTCAAATTCTTGAAAATTCAATCAATATAAAGTAGTTCCTAATCTATTTGATCCAATATCATAATAGGGTAGGTTATCATAATTGGTTATTTAATGAAATTAAATTGCTTCATAATTGCTGAAGTTAGTTTATAAATCATTTACATTATTGGAAGAGAATTTAACTATAAACTGAAATGATCCGAATAAAGTACATCAAAGAACATCAAGTTAAGTCAGACATTTGATAGATAAGGAATTTAACTGCATTTTCTTTAAATGCTTTAATCGGCTTAAGAAAATTTGCTGAGCTTTTGAAACAAATCAAATTTTATTATTTTTAAGATTAACTTTGATTAAAAAACAGAAGGATCTTTAACATATTTTACAGATCTATTTAACAAATTAAGCAATTAATATTATCTAGATTTATTATCTATTTACTTGAATTTTTTTCATATAAATTTTCTTTATAAGCTTTACAATATGTCAATTATTTGGATATAGTCTGGAGGGTGTATAAAGGTAGTATAAAACCATATTAATTGCAGCTTGCTGAGTAAGTGTTGGCTATGGCTTTAATTATATCCCAGAAGATTGTTAAACATATAGGATATGTAAAATTTCTTTCGTCAAGCTTGAAATTACATTTCCATTCCATATTATCTAAATTATACATTTAATAAACGATTTAATAGCACTTTCCTTTCCCTCTCGTCTTTACCAAATAAAATCAATCATATTGCTTCTAAGCCCATACTTTCAACTCAACACAAATTCTTTTTATAAGTGAAAGATTTTGATACCCATAATCATTTCCTTTTCTTCAACTGAATTTTTTCTATATTACCTGTTTAATGACAAATTTAATAACATTACTCATAATAAATCTCTTATATTGACAAAACATTCGATTTTTCTGATATTCTATAAATTTTTAGGCCATCTAATAAATTCATAGTACTAATACTCTTGGTTGTTCGATTTGAGAGTTGTATTAGACCTTTTTACAATTTTTTATCTTTCCAGTATCTAAAGTTAACTCTTGTTCAGCGATATACGATACTGCAAATATAATCAACTTCCTTAACATAAGACATTTGTATTGCATCTTTCAACTCATTAGTGTTCTTCTAGTCAGAAAACCATCCTTCTTTACTTATCAATAAGCAGCATTTCAAATATTCTTTCAGAGCTTAATTGCTGAAGAAACTTTTGTAATAAGTATTTAAATCGACTTAAAATAGAGTTTTAAATTGTATTATTAAAACAGAAATCAGTAGAAATGAGCAAATGTGTTTCTATTATTATTAAAGAAGGTAAATTATTGAACACTATAAATGAAATTGCTAGTTAACAATTAGTTGGATTTAAAATTCTACATTTTGTTTTGCTTCGCAATAATGATGATCTTATTATCACTTGTAGTTATGCTAATACAATTAAATGTTGAAATAATTTGAAATAATTATTCAAAGTGAAAAAATTGATTCTTGTTTAACGATTAGTGACTGCAGTATTGAATTTTCAAAGCATTCTCTTCCTCTAAAGCTAACTGTTGATGACGATAACTGAATGATATTGGAATATAAATTGTAATTTGAATTTATAGTTAATGAGAGAATAAATCAAAAAATTATGAATTCAATTTAATTAAATTATAACAAGCTAATTAAAGCAAAATAAATGGATTCATCTTCAAAGATTTCGAATTTTATCCTTGCTCAAAGCCAATATATTCAGTATAAATGGAAATTTATATAAGACTAGCAATTGTCAAACATACAAAGTAGCAAAGCAGAAGCAAATCGTTTAATAAAGAGTTTACCCAAGTGATTGATTCTAATATCAATAGATATTAAAATGCAAAGTTGTAGAATAACTAAGCCCAATAATATGTATACAACAAAATACTAATATCTAGCAAAATCAGGACAGTTAATCCAAATAATAACGACATTTTTTACCCTATCTTCCATTTACATATTTAGATATAAAGCAGGAGGGAATTGGATACTATTACAATAAGTAAATTAACTATTATGTTCAGTGTAGTAATGTGAATAATCTGCTTTTTTATTATTGATAAATGAAAATATTTCAAAATTTAAATAACATCTTTAGGAATATTCAGGAATATTTAGGTACTCTTAGAAAATAAAACAACTAATCGTGAATAAATATAAACAAAAAACTAAAACGCAGCCAATGGTTTCAGTAGTTCAGATCTATTTAAAGAATTGTCAAAATAATCTAAACCAAAAGGTGACAAATAAATATCTACCTTCAACAAGAAAGCTAGCCATTCCTGAAAAAGTACCTACTATTTCTGAGGGTACGGTTCTTTTAAATATAATTTCATTATTATTGTTAAGATGAGTAATGAAACAACAAAACTGAAGCAAAAATAAATATAATTTCTCGATTTGAATTACTTAAAGGTACCTATAACATAAAAGACATCTGAAATTAATAGAGAGTGATCTTTGTTGTATATTTAAGTGGTGGCTATGCCATAACTCTATCAACAACTTGGCCTATTGATAAAGCAACATTAAGTAGTCCCTATTCTCATATTTCAGAACCACACGATCTACTTTTATTTTATAATATTGTATATTTGTGAAAATAATTTCACTAATGAAATTGATAAATATTGATAATGAGTAACCAAATGAAACATTACTACTTTGAATAGCAAATATAATGACATTTCAAGAAAGAAAAAGACTTGATTTCATTTTTAATTTCTTATTATGGTTGGAGGTTAATAAAAGTGGGAGTTGATATATTTTAAGGCTTTCATTTTGCATGATTGGTGCAAAAAAATTGGATTTTTAATGATTATTGGTAAAATTAGATAAAACTTCTAAATTGTACATTAAGTCTCATTATGTATAATTGTTATTCGTTTAAAGGACCTCATGATATTATTAGACAACCCTTACATCTCTAATAAGTAGGAAAATAAATTGGTTATATGAAGCTTTGGAAAATCGTTTAATGTAAGACTAATTCTTTGAATGTTTATTGGGGACTATTTATTTATTAATTTTCTGATATTAAAAGAAATGAATAATTAAATAGATCTATTCGATTATTAAAAATTATTCATTTTATTTTTCCATAAATATTAAATAAGAAAATTACTAAATATTTATTAAATACTAAAACAGGTGGCTATTGCAAATTGAAGTGAATGCAATTATGCCTTTAAGATGATTAATCTAACACTATCTTACTCCAAAAAACTTTGAGGAATCTTTTATAAGTCTGAAGATTCAAATTTAATACAATTTGGAAATATAATTATCATTCCTTCCACTTTTTTATCAAGTATGTAATTAAAGTAACATCTTGATACATAATTATAGGTGAAATCATCATTGTTAGTAATTTTATAGAAGTATCTAGATTATATTCAAATGTTTTGATTTTATCCAATTAATAGATTTATATCATTGGTTGTTGGATGGTTTTAGTAGTTTCTAATAGAAAAATAGATGGTAATTAATAATGAATTTCTATCTTGAATACCACTATAGATACAATAAGAATTGCTCACATTAGGTTTTTCTAAATTAAAGAATACTTTAAAATAGCTTACTGCTTATTCTATTATAACCCCTAATATCACAATTATGGATACTAACGTAGTAGTGTTTGAATATATTTCAAATAGCATAGTATTAGTAAATTAATCGGTAGCCCTAATTCTAATACAGTCATAATTTCTTATTGGGGTCTCGCACTTTCAAATTAGTATCTATCAATTCCAATAAACTAGCAAATGAAGACTTGTACATATGCGTAACATCAAATTTTCATATTATGTTTTAATTGAATTCAATAATAGAATTGAAGATGATTTGCTGATAAATTATTTATTTTGTAAATTATAAGGGAATTTTTTACTCTTCAAATTTTGAGTCAAAATTTGATAAAATTATGAAACCTTAAACTAACTTTAGCATTATTACAGTAATTTAATTATTTAAGTTAATCTTAGAATTTGATAAGATTTTCTATGCCAATTTATATACAGAGCCTTGAAATGTTAATGGAAACGCTTTTTATTGTAACTATTAATCAAAATCTTTCTGCATATTCCGAATAAATAATAGTTCTAGCATATTAACGATTTCTAACTACACATTTATCTACATATACACTAATTTAAAAAGTTATCCAAGCTTGTATTTAATGAGAATCAAGTGAATCTGATTATCCTATCTTTTAATGATATTACTCTTACTAAATAATAAAGACATACTCCATCTTATTTGAAAGATAATTTATTACTCAAAATAATTCAACCTATTGAAATATAAATAAAACAAAATTAATCATAAATCCATCCAATATATTTAATGGAAACGTTTAGTATTATTCAATTAGTTGTAAAGAATGAAATTCACTAAATTTTACCTAGCTCCATAAATCAACTTACCCCAGGAGCCTTGAACTTTTCTTTTTTAGGCTGTGTCAATAATAACGACGTAATCTTTATCTAAAATAATATCAGTTTGTATGATATAAATGGAGTCTACAATTAACTTTATAACTTTATAGCTTTATTTCCGGTATAAAATAATTGAAGTAAAAATTGGTTAAAAATATTAAGAGTAAAAGAATTTTGAATAATATATAGAATAATTATTCCTATTTAACAGAATTAAAATAGAAAGATGGAATTACATTTTTTGTTTTCAGTTATCAATTTTTAGTTGTATAGTACTATTTGTGGATAAATAATTAATTGATTATAATTAGATATAGAACTTACATTGATATTCATAAGTTTTGATAAGCCATTTATATAGATGAGAGCAACTCAGATATTAATATCAAAATTGATCTGATAAATTTATAAAAATGTATTATGATAAACTGACAACAGTTGACTTTCAGTTTCCACTTCCGTTTTGAGTTGTCCTTAATTAAAGTTATTGAACCATATACTGTTATAAGTTGTTAAAATAAGATTAAAACCTTGCACTTTATTATTACTGTTTTCCATCTTGAAACATTGAATAGACTCCTTATTGTTGGTAATTATTGATACTTAACTACATCATTTATCCTACACCATATGAACTAAAGGTTCCTCTCTAAGATGCTTGCTTGCTTAATATAAATCATTAATAAGTGAAGGAGTTTATGAAGCTATTCGCTAATTAGTTTGTAATCATATCAGTCAAATAAAAATGAACTAGTACAAAAAACAATTGAAAATGTGCTTTATCGATTATTTTAGGCGACTAAACTCTATTGTATAATTCAAGTACTTCAATATCTTCTTCATTGAAGTATATGCAATCATCTTGATTGAAGAATGTCAAAATCAGAGTTGTTGATTTTTTAAAGTCCTTTTTCTCCAATGGATCAGTAATTTAAAGCTGAGCTTTCATAATCATAGCATTTCTTTCATTATCTTAGATTTACAAAGTCTTTTCTTGATCCTTAAATCAATATTGGAAGATTGATCTCATAATAATTCCCTTTATTAATCCATGAGTCTTAGAAATATTCAAACCATTTAAGATTTCAGGAAGCTTTAAGTTAACTGTAACCTATAATTTTTCACACACAACCGATTTTAAGCCTCCTAAAGCATCCAAAAAGAATTCATCCAATAAAGAAATATTCTACACAAAATAAAAACTTCTATTTTCAAGTTAAATAGATGCTATCAGAGCTGCATCATATTCCTAACCAAATCAAAATGCATGCACAGTAAATTCCTCATCTAGCTATTTTAATTAGATTTATATTTATTAGGGAGCAAAATTGTCTTGGCCATCAGAAAGTAACAAGACTGAGCTCACATTGTTTTTATACTTCCTGCTCTTTAACTAGCGAAAAAGCAATCTCAGTTGCTGAGGATATTTGTATGCCTCCGTGAGAATTAATTTAATCAATTATTTATGTAAAGTGTATTCAAAAAATAATTAATTAATAATGGTACAATTTGTTATCTTCTGTTATTCTATTAAATGGAGTTAATCTTTGAGCCTAAATATGAAAAATAATTAGTTATTAACGGTCATGATCTGTTAAAAATGTAAATAGAAATTTCAAACTTGATGTTACAGTCTCTCTATTTTACTCCCATTAATACGGGAGCTTTTATCGATCACCAAATCTACTCCAACTCTATTTAGGTCTTAACCATTTAATTGATCTGTTTTTTTTTATACTAATGATTCCAGGCAACTACATTTATTTCCTTACAACTCTTGAACTGTAGACAATATTAAGTTTAGGTTTTAGTTAATTTAATCATCTTCTACAATGTCTTGATTTCAACAATTAGTTCTTTTTCTAATCATACATATTCAAGGTCTACTTAGCTGAGACCAAATTTGCTTAAATTTAATCATCATCATCAAATATTTCCTAAAAAATTGTTTCTTATACTAATTATGGTTTGGGTAACTATTAAAAGTATATTGGATCTAATAAATGTTAATACTACCTGGAATTTTGACTCTTATCGATAAATTTGTTTTTATTAAGTTCTGGTCTTATTGCTTAGAATCTTTAAATTGAATTATTAAATTGTAAAGATTATGGATACTATTTCATAGATATAAAAGAATTTTTCATATTTGTACTGCCATATTTGATTCTTGAAAAGGTTTAATTATGTTAATATATAATCATAGAAATAAAATAAGAATCTAACATTAATTGTAGCAAATTTTGGAGCAAAAATTACACTCAAGTAAAAATTTTTGAAGATTAGCGTTTTCAAGTATATCTATGTATCATGAAATTGAATGTATTTGAATTAAGGTCTTTTCAAAAATTTTAATAAAGGCAACGTATTTGATATCTATTACTCAAGCAGGTTTAATGCATAAATTGTGAATAAAATTATAGAGAATGTAAACGAAATTTAAAAAGAGATTCTTGCAAAGAAAAATGGATTCAAAATAATTGGCTGGTTAGAATTCTTATATGATATAAAATATACTAATATGAAAATGAGTTTATAATGAAAACTTTGAAGTAATTTAAAAATAATTTAATTGTTTTAAAATTTATAACATGAAGATTATTAAAAGTTGTTAATCTACAAATCAGTTTATCATCTTTGAAAGTAAGATTTTAGAATGTAGTAATTCAATTTATTTTTTAATCTAGAAATTATTTGTGATTTTTCTAGCATCTTTGAAGAAAGTAATTTCCTTTTATACATTATTTTATTATATAATTTAGATTTTTGTGAAAATTTATTATAGTATTTTCCAAATTATTTTGCTAGAAAATTCTTATTGGTTTTGTTAAATAATATTTGTTGAAAATTTAACTCTGTTAATTATATTCTTCTTTGAATTTATTATTCTCGCTAATTGTGAGCTTAAGAATTCCTCATTTAATTATTCTTAAATTAAAACGAAATTATACTGGTTAATGAATAAAGATGGAACTAAAAAATTGTTTTTAGATTACAGGTCATCATTATTCTGATCCAAAATTTTCTTTTGCTCTTTTGTATTTTCTTATTCGATATTTTGGTTAGTGAAAAATAAATAATTAATTGCTCCTTGCTTTCATGTTTTAATCTAATTCTTATTTGATTTTGGGCTTTAAAAATTGCATAGAATAAATTTCTCTCGCTTTTTCTATGTTTAGAGTGGAGCCGGTTTGTTCGAAATGTAATCTTTTGCATCCCATATATATTTCCTTTTGCTACTGTTTCAAGTTGTACTGGATGCATATAGGTTACTTTCGAGACGTTTTTAAATTTACCAAGTCTTTGCCTGTTAAAACTGTTCTCTTTGGAGTAAATGGTATTAAGCCCTTAATGGAGACTATTGTTCAAAAAACTTAATTCTTTTACCTCCCTCAAGTATTTGCTATGTTTGAAACTTTTTGAAAGGAGATCATTTCATTTATAAATACTATACGGATGACTAAACTGGAGAAGACTCTACATCAACTTGCCATATATCCTATTGAAGCACTGATACTGGATTAGACAGGTGTTCATTCTCATTTGCTGAATTTAATTTATATGTACAGTTGCCTGCCTACCAATAAATGTTCAAACAATTACCAAAATGTTTTGCCATCACTAGATAATTACATTGGCTTCCAGGGCTACTATTTATGATCTCCTTCATCAAAAGGTATTTATGGAGAAGCTAGTGCTTCATAAACTGAACATTCCTACATTTATTGTGTACATATTCTATTGTTAATAAAATGTTTCATAATTAGACAAATATCGATTAATTTTGATCCTTAAACCAAAAGCGGCTGTCTGTACTTACTATATTAAAGGGTGTATTGCAGATGAAAGAATTAATTTTTAACAATATGCAAATCTAAACTGTTCTGATAGCCTTGTTTATGTTTCAGTGGCTGGGCTTTTAATACTAATATTTGCACAGAATTTGCATTCCATGTGAGAATTAATTTAATAGATATGCGAAATGCTCAGCTGGTGATATCGGCCATTAAATTGAAACAAATATTTAGTTAAACTTGTGCTGTTGATATGTCTTATTATTATTAATTAATTGTGAGTGGCAATGTTTGCAATTCTTATCAATTTACTTCTTGCTTTGATGTATAATTATGTAGTTGTAGAGTCATGAACTAATTCAGGTATTACGAAGACTGAATTCATAAAAGACTATTTGTAAGAGCTATTCTATTTTGATCATCAAAAAAATTCTGTAAGCTTAAAAGATCAATTTGATATTGACCAATCTGCAATTAAGGCAAATAATGTTTAGCAGTATAAAGTAGTAATTTTAGAATTTGGGTAACTAACACATTTAATAACTGATTGAATACATTAATGCTTCAGAGATTCACTGTTTTAGGAGTGCATACTGTAGAGTATGACTGCGCAATAATATTGAAATCGAGCTATTAAATTTGTAATGAGCAGTATAAATAAAATGTTGCAATGTAAGGGCATAAAAATGATTATAAACCTAGACAAAACACACTCATTTAATTCATTTGTAATATCTGAAAATGATGAGTATAAAATTTTCATGAAAACAAATATGCGTATTTGAACGCTGAGTTCTAGAGTTAAAAATTTCAAATGATGCTTTAGAACTATAAACTTTTGTCGGTATCACAGAGACTATAGTCGCAAAATTTATTGATGCCTCGTTCCTTTAAGATAGTATTTATTCAAAGTTATCTGTAAATTAGAATTGTATTAAATGTTAAGCTAGTTCAACTCTAGTTGTTTAGGTTAATGCCATGAAAAATTGATACATTACTGATGCTCATTTTCGCCGTCCCAGTTACCTTATGCTGATTATAAATTAGCTGTGTCAATAAAATATCATGTTTTCTCAATTTTATAAATTATCATTAATTATTAGTACTGTTTAACTTTCTATCGCCACTTCCCTTCCAAAAATGTACTAAATCTTCTTATAGGTTCGCTACTTGAACTGTACAACTTGATGCATATATATGCATAGTTGAAATTTAATTATCTATATCTAATTTATGGATATCAGTTTCTATTGGTTAAAGTCAATTTGATTTGATAGTAATAGATGGCTCTACTTCGGTTTATGAATACTGTCAACTAAAAGTAATATCTTTGCAAATTTGGCTAACTATATGATCCAATGGACTAAGTTCCTTAGACTCAACATTGTAAGGACCTTTCAAGAATATGTTAAATATGACATTTTTGTAAGTATTCATTTGAAATGATGGGTCTTTCTTACGGAGAAGCTAGCTACAAATTCTTCTCATTATCTCAATATCCGTCTTTATCACCATGTCTTTCTACATCCAGCAGCAATTATCCCAATTCCAAGAATGAAAGTTGATTTTATTTTATCAATTCGTGAGATATTAAGCAAATGCTCTTTCATTTATAATTTTCCAGTGCGAGTCTTTTGACCGATGAGCATCTCTCACAAATCTAACATAAGCTTAGAAAGTGGTCCCATTGATGAAAAATCAAATGGATCTTGACACATATTCCTACGAATTGCTTGTTTTTATCAAGATAGTCTCATAATTACATTTTAATAATCCAAGCAAAAGACTGAAGCTCAAATCTTCCTTTTCATTAAATTTAGCCTAAGGTCATCCACATTTAAAACAACTTGGCGAGACGTCGATGAATGAGATTTAAAAGTCAAAGAATTTTTGTGTATTTTTGACAACTGCTTACCTAATTGTTTCGTAATTCCCATAATAGTTTGAACCATGGTTCCTATTCTAGGCTTGTTTTCAGCCATAGATGCCCTGTTGAAAAATCCACAGATGAAGTTATCTCATGTCTTATGCATATTTAATATCTTGAGCATGATAACTGAACTCAGTGAGCTGTCCAAGCAAATCAGTAATTATCATAAGAAATTCCAATATTCAGATATTCAATCTTTTAACCTTTAGCATGGAAATATATTGTTATTCGTGTATTATGTGATTATAGCTAAAATTTAAAAATTTTTAATCACATTTGATTAATTGTGTAAGTGATGTTGTGATACTGAATTGTATAAATATCCTTCCTTTCTTCCTGTATATTATTTTATGAAGCATCCCCTGAAAGAAGTTCAAAAAATTATCATTTATATTGTGATATCAGTAATGGTTCATTTAGTATAGAGGGTATTATTTTGTTCTTTAATGCATAATTACAACATTAACTAATTTTATCTCTTCCTCATCTCATCTTTATGCAGCCGTTATTGCATAATTTTTCATTTTCCTGAGTTGTTCTTCTACGAATTATTATATCAAGATGCACTAAACCCAAATTCTTACACTTGGAGTGCGCACAATTTTTTATATGTACTAAGTATTTAATTTAAAAGCGAAATGGTTGCTAGTAGTTTAAGTCCAAACTTTGGACAATTGATATATCTATTTCAAACCACATGTATTACTAATATAAAACATAGTTTATATCAACAAGTATTTGCAATTCTTCTTGTGATGAGTCCTAAAATAAGGTACCCTGAATTATGTATGCAGAACCATTTACAGATGTTCTCACGTTCTACTACACGCCAACCATATTCTTAGTATAATCAGTTTACAAGAATGTGTGTTTATTATTTCAAATTATTTATCAGCTAGTCTTATCAAAAACATCTCAATTATACAAAATTACAAACCTTTCAATCATTAAGAAACTAAGTCTCTTAATTTACCATTTAATTGAAGATTGGTTTGACTTATCATTTTACTGTACTTCAATGCTTTCTTGCTTCTCTTCTCTTTATGTTCATTGCCTATCAACCGATATTTCTTATTTAATAGTTTTGACTCAAAGCAAAAATTACTTAATAACTTGCACTTAATTCTTGATTTTCTCTCAACTTGAAATTACACCTTTACTCCACTATTATTATAAGATAAATGGAATGAAGTTTATTGGGAAATGCTCAGATAAATTTGAGCGTGGAGGATCATTAGGATCACCTTCCTCAAATTGTTCTTGTATTTGCTATTCTGTCCTTTTAATGTTTGTCAATACAGCTTCGACACGAGGCTAGTGAGACTTTGTTGAAGAACTACTATGTCATCTCTTCTATTAATTTGAACAATTTATATCTAATTAAATTTCACCTCAAATTTTTACATTTTCACAATAAAAACACTATAAAGTTTAAAACGATAGTTATACAATTATTTAATGTTGTAATTATGCATTAAAG